ATGTCTTTCTTTGGTCCAGTTACCAGGGGAAGATGCTCTGCGCACAGTCATTCCCGTAAGCATCACAAGTGAGGCAGACAGCCTGAGTCACCTCTGCTTTAAGCAGCCTGGACTGGGAGGGAGCAGGGCACGGAAATGGGAACGGGAGGCATCCCGTTCAACTGTGGCCAGGCAGGTCTTGGTGGCAGGGGAAAATAATGGCAGTCAGAGATGAATTAGAAAAGAACCCTTCTGTACTGGATACCGGAGGAGTGTTTTGTTCTGTTTCAATAGAAATTAATTCCAGGTCAGCTAAATACAATTTCTCAGTCTTTTTTTTCCAGCTGAGGAGGAAAACCTAACTCCCTGTTATGCCATCTAGAACATGTCTTCTTTAGGAAAAGACAAAAAAGATAATAAAGGCAATAGGAAAAACACTGAACACTCACCTTAATGGTCAGCTAAAGAAAAAGTAACGGCCAAAGAAGTTTGTTGATGGCGAGCGCCAAATGCTTAAGATTTGTAAGTAAGAACTGTTAATAACAGCTGTGTAAGTGTCAGATATCTTTTTCAATGATTTCAGGACAAGCACAGCAGTTCAGTGTGTCTAGAGAGCTGCTACTTTTACCAAATGACTTTCAAAGCTAGAAACAGTTCTGTGCTCCTTCTGGAGTGTCTATAGGAGTGGGTTTGAGATTTTTTTGTTTTCTGTTATCGCTTTAAAGTGCTTGCAGGACAATGCAGATTAAAAAATGAATCTAGGATAGTTTTGCAGGTCCTCTTCCCTCTCTTACAGCCGGTTGGAAGGTACTTAGATCGTTCTTAGTTCTGTTCTAGTATGTCCCTGTCCCAGAAGTAAAAATGCACATAATTGTTAGAGTTTCTTTAGACTTTGGTAGTGGAGGTCTAAGAGAGGGTATAAGAACCAGATGTCATGCAAATCACAAGTTAATGTGATTATGCGTATCTGGAGAAAGTCTACTTATAGAGATAAGAAGATCATCTCAGTGGTGAGACCAATGAACACACTCAACACCAGCCAAGAGCAGCCAGTAGTGATGGAGAAATTTGGGTGACTAAGTAAAGAGCTGTGCAGAAATAAAAGAGAATTGCTACAGACAGAGACGGTGATGTGTAGACAGGCTGCAGATTTGTTAATCTAAGGACAGAGGTAGGGGGGAGGGAGACCAGTGGAGCCCACCTCTGAGGATCATAGGTGTTTAAAGCCCTGTCAAAGCTGTGGGGAAACTGGAATGATGAAAGTGTCTTGGGAATAGAAAGAGAGAAACAGGCAGTTTATCTATGTCCTCTTTCTACAATTGACCTGCTTTACTTCATTTTGTCCCTGTCAACTCATCTTAGTTTCTTAAAGCTTCTAATTATAAAGCTGTGAAATCACAGACAACATTTAATGAAAAAGAATATAGTACATGTTGTCTGAGTCATTATGCTGTGTGTTTATCACCTTGTTATTTGGC